AGAATTTGATGTTTGTGTTAGTTAATAACGTCCGTCCCTTAGATTTTTTAAATGTTATACTATTGGCAGGTTTAATTCTTAAAAATATCGCTTAGGTTCGTCATTTAGAACAGTGGATATCAACCATTTGCAGATCCGTGACCCCTATTATTTGTTTTTTTTGTTTTTTATTTTGTAAGCTGTCCTTTCAAAGGTTTTTTTTTTATAGATTATGTGTAATATTATAAGAAAGATCATTTTTCATTATTTTGGTGACTCCCTCTCCTCCCAACTATCCTTCGATATATATTGTGCCGTGTGCAACGGTCTAAATATATTAATTATTAGTATTTACTGAGTGGTTTTTTAAATAATTATATTGACATTAGTTTCTGAATATTGTTTTATAATTTTAGTTATAGATCTGATTTTGACATTGAACAATCAAACATATTTAATGATAATGATCAAAATATGGCTGACAATAACATGCAATCATACAATGAAAATTATCGTTTAGTCTTAAATGAACACATAGATAATATCGAGGATATTGATGAAGATGAGGAGGAAGAAGTAGATGAAGAAGTAGATGGAGAAGTAGATGAAGAAGTAGATGAAGAAGTAGATGAAGAAGTAGATGAAGAAGTAGATGAAGAAATAGATGAAGAAATAGATGAAGAAGTAGATGAAGAAGTAGAAGAAGAAGGAGAAGAAGAAGGAGGAGAAGAAGAGGAAGAAGAAGATGATGATGATGATGATGACAGTGATGATGAGTCAACAAATCCTACAGAACAATAATACCATTTAAATATTCAACATAGGCATTAATTATAACCTTTACAATTACTATATTTATATAAATATATATGAAGCAATTTATAATAGTTTATAGATAATCTCATTAGAAATTCAAGATCATAAGACTCGAATATATTTATAAGTATATTTTGTTTTGATAAAGGTTTAATAATGTGTAAATATGTTTGTAAGTATTGAACATACTTATTTAGTGTAAATACAAACAAAATGTATTAAAATGTATATGATTTATTATGATATTCATTCCATTTTTTTTTTAAGAATAATTTTTATTACATTTTATTATTGACCCACTGTCATTTAAAATGAAATTTTTTATTAATTATATTATTTTTATGTGGATGTAAAATACCCATGTGTATTAAACATGTATATTTTTTAATATAATTTATTATAGCTTTGTTATAATATTAATTAATGAATAACCTATCATTTTGTAGCCATGATATCATTAATTTATCATTGCTATTATTTTGTACCATAATGAATTATAAATTTATTTTTTATTTTTTTTATTCTATATATACAATTCTTTAAAACTTGACTCTTATACTATTTAATATGTATTGAACTTAAAGCCACTGCGTTCTCATTTATTTATTTTTTATTCTTGTCGCCTCATGCATGTTATGTTTTCAATTATTGTTTGAATTTTCAAAATATTTATACTATATTATAATATTGAAGTTTATTAATTCAAAAACAGAATCTAAAGTTCATGTTTAGTACATAATAAATAAAAATAAGATTTTTTGTTGTAATGTAATTGTTAACAAGACGCAAACAAAATAACTGATACCTGATGCTGCTATTGAGTGCGCCACTATGTTATAGGTTGGAAGGTATAATACATAAAGTTATTTAATTTATATCTGTAAATAATGATAAACTATTGCTTATGAAATAAAATTTTAAGCAACGTTCAGTTATGCATGTTTGAAAATACCCATAATATTAACGATTTTCATCAAACTTTAAGACTTAACTTTAATTCATATAGTACCTACTAAAGAAAAATTACATAAATAGCTCAAAAATATATTCAGCATACTTAGAATGTTGTACGTCGTCTAATAAAGCTCAATATTAGTTTTATGTTATCAATCTGTCATTAGTTTTCTGTTTTCAAATCTACAAATATTTTTAACTGAATTGCAACAAAAAATAATTAACAATGAAACCATTATTTTCGTAAAATTTCCAGTTTTTTCCCGGTTTTACTCAATTATTTAGGAAACCACACGGTAAATCAAAAAGTGTCAAACCATTTTTTCATTAGAAAGCAATGTTTTTGGTAAAAAAAACCATTTGTAAAAGTTATAAACAATGAAAATTATTAGGTAACAAAAATATTGAAGGTAATGAAACTGCAAATAAAGCAGCAAAAGAAGCTGCACTTCCTAAAAATCACATTCAGTCTCTTGATAAAACATACTCTGACATCAGAGTGCAAATCAACACAATACAAACAAACTGGCAAACCCACTGGTTGAGACAACAGACCAAACTCGTAGAAATAAAATGTTTTTAGGTTGGCCAAATCCGAATCTTAAAAGAAGAGGTCATAGTTTTAATTAATCGTCTCCGGATACATGCATAGTGATCTGAGAATGAAATTTAGGTGGCAAAAATGTTCAAAAAATTTTTTTTTTCTAGAATCTCAAAAATAGATGATTACTAGTGTTAATACAAAATTTCAGTTTCATAACATTTTTTGAACTGGAGTTATAGATAAGTGAACTAGACAAATTTGATTTTTTTTGTTATTTTGAAAATGAAAATGGCGATAATTCATTAATATTTTTGACTATTTGAAATTTATAAAATAAAAAAAAAAAAAAATACCTAATTATTAAGTCGCATATTAAGGTAATTAAAAAAAAAAATTTTTTTTTTTTATTTAAGTCCTTAACAGTTATGATGAATTATAAAAAAAAATTAATGTTTTTGTTTTTTTTTTTCGTAGACTGCAGTAAAAATTTACTCAAGTTTACCCTGTATCCAATATATGCATTTTATAGAGAAAGTTCTCAGCTATAGGAATATATAATTTTTTATTGCATCCCATTGCATCTGCAACATATAAAATAATATTGTCATAAAAAATTTGTTGTTTTTAAAATTTAAAAATGTGTGTAGAAAATTAATTATCTGTGTACAATTTAATAACATAATAAGTACAATTTTTATTTATAAGTGTTATACGTGACTGATTGTTTGAAGGGATAATTAGTAAATAGAGTTACATTTGGAAATCCAGTATTTCATTAAACAGATATGATGATATTCAGGAGCAGAATAGCTCGAAAATTCTAGCAAATATATATGTCCAGGTTACTTTAATGTTTACCATTTTTTGATACTTTATTGAGGGTTGTAACTTAATCTATTTTTAATTTTTGTTTAATGTATAAACACATTTTTGGACCATACATTTGTAGAAACTTTCATTACCCAATAAACATCATTAACATTCCTTCCATAGTATCCATCTTACAATTTTTTTTTTTTTTTTAAGAGAAAATATTTCAGGCAAACAAAGAAAACCTTAATAACTTTATGTCAGCCATTTTTTAGAAGTTGAATTTCTATTTAATAAATATACCGTTATTGTCCTCTTGTTTTAAATATCAAGTATGAAAACTGAGAAGCTTCTAGATCGGAATCAAATTATAGATTTATACTAAAAGCAAACATTGATTTTATATATATATTTAATTTGTCAATGCTGAATAGTTTTTGCTATCTTTTTTGTATTAAACATGGTCCCCCTACCCCCTTAGGTGCGCTATTATCAATGATGTAACTATTTTCCACTGTTTTAATTTTTAATATACATTAAAAAATTTTAAACATAAAATTAAAAATAAATACTATTTCATTAAATTTTGACGATAGATAATTTACAACTTCTTGAGAATAAATGTGTAAACAATTATAAATTAATAAAATATTTAAATGATTTCCCCAATACTCCAGTTAGACAAAATTAGTTATCAAAAACCACCTTTAAAGTTGATGAACGGAGTATTATTTCTGACAGAAAAGTGATTTACAGATAGAAAAACAAAATAAATATAAATCTAAAAAAGCACATGCACATCATGGAAAAACAATAAATGTTTTACTTTATGCTTAGAATGTAAAAATGCCTAGTGCACCGCAGTTTGTGTATTGCTTAGGTTTTTCTTTGTTTTTAGCCATTATTGGCACTATAAAGTTAAAACAATTTAACTAAAATAATAATATTACGAATTAGTAAATACCTAGTCTTTTAATATTGTATGATTGACGAAGAAATGCTTTTAGAAATAAAAATTATTACAATTAAATCAGATTCGATTACAAATATTTACCAATACCTACCTATCGGAATTCCTTCTATATAATTCTATAAGAATGTAGATCGTGCAGTATAGTATTCATTTATTATGATTTCACTATAAATATATAAAAATCGATATCTGAGTTCTTTATATTTTAAAAACAATTCAAACTATTATTTCTAAATAACAAAAAATAACTTCTAATTTTAAACACTTATAAGCCAGGCCACCGGACATTTGCCCTGCAGGCCTGTCCGCCCCTTATGATATTTATCAGTACAATAAAATTACGATTAGACATAATATTATGCTTTGCAGTGTAATAAATACACCTATGTGCAATGTGCATTAATTTATACGAGTACCTATTGCAGTTTCATAAAGGTTAGTAATACGTTTTCTAAAGTTTACTAATATTTTGTATTCAATAATTTTATTTTTCACTTATACTTTACAATTCACCTTGGATAGTCCTAAATAAAGTAATTTTTTCAAATACGTTTTATGTGTTAACACTATCAATTTGTAAATATGAACAATCAGAATCAAAGCAATGTATTCAAGGTGTCAATCAACAAGGTATTGAAAGTCGTCACCAAGCGAAATCCTTGAAGTATGATAGGAACATGGAATGTCAGAACTCTGTTACAAACAGGGAAACTAGAAAATCTTAAGATTGAGATGAAACGTTTCAAAATAAATATTTTGGGGATAAGTGAAATGAGATGAAATGGTCAAGGTGACTTTATATCGGAAGACAATTCGAATAAAAAATGGACACAATGTGTGAGAAGTCACATTGCTTACGATGATAGATTGATATTGATAAAATTAAAATCTATTCCTAATAATATCGCAATAATACAAGCATATATGCCCACAACACAAGCGAACGATGAAGAAGTAGAAGAGATCTACGAAAATATAGAAGAACTCATTAACCTCATAAATAGTAAGGAAAATTTTATTATCATGGGGGATTGGAATGCGATTGTGGGTGAAAATACAGACGACAAATTGGTAAATACGGACTCGGGACAAGGAATGAATGAGGTAACCGTCTTGGCGAATTTTGCAGACAACATGATTTAGTTATAACCAATACTTTATTCATGAATCACAAAAGAAGACGCTATACGTATAAAACACTGGGTGATATTAACAAATACCAATTAGACTATATTTTGGTAAAGAATAGGTACAAACACCAGATCAAATCGTGTAAAGCCTACCCAGGAGCTGATATTGACAGCGACCATAACCTGGTAATGATCAAGTCCGTATTGAAATTCAAGAAGTTAAAAAAACCAAAAAACAAAGGGCATAAGTGGAATTTGTGTCAACTAAAGCAACCAGGAATAAGAAAACTGTTCAAAAGGAAATGCAAAGAAAAACTTGAAACCAAAAGTAAGTCGAGAATAGATGATTATAATAATATAGAACATGGATGGCGTCGCATAAAAGTATCTATTGTCCAGTCTGCAGAAGAAATATTAACTAGGGAGAAACTAGCACCGAATTGCGAATGGATAACAACGGAAATTGTTCAAGATATAGAAAGAAGAAGATTGCTAAAAACAAAACAGATTAAGAAAGTAAAAGACAATATAAGAAGTTAAGAAAATAAACCGTGAAGCAAAAAAATCCAAAGAGACGTGGATCGAAAAGAATTGTGAAGACATAGACAATATGATGAAATACAACCAACAGGACAAGGCATATGAACTCATCAAACGATACTTTAATGAAAAAAGTCACAATGCACACATGTAAATGATAAAGAGGGGAATTTACTTATAGACGAGATAGCGATAGCGAATAGATGGAAAGAATACGTAGAAGAACTATATGGAGAAGAAGAAAACATCGACTTACTCGTTGAAACCCCAACCGACGGTGATTTTGATTCAAATGCAGATACAAGAATTCTAAAATCAGAATTTGAAGACTCATTCCAAACAATGAAGAAAAACAAAGCACCAGGCCCAGACGAATTAAACACAAAACTCCTACAATAGACAGGAGATGAAATAAAGAACGCTCTATACGAATTGTTATATCAAATATACGAGACTGGGAAAATTCTGAGAGATTTTGAAAGTAGTAGATTAGTATCATACCAAAAAAACCTAGAGCTAACCAGTGCGAAAATTTTAGGACCTTAAGTTTGATATCAACTTCAGTGCAGATGTTTACGTCTCATTTGTATACAGTCTACTTTTAGTGACGATTTGTCTCACTTGCGTACACACTCATTTCCTTTCACACTTGGTCAGGCTTAGGACTGATAGAACGTTGCTTTTGCAATACTTTGGTGGCGTATTTAAAAATGAGGGTGCACGAATACGTTAAGTGTTGTTGATCCTGAGTTAAAATGTAAAATATCATTGTAATAATGTAATAATTAAATAGTGGAACATAATTTAATAAATATTCAAAGTAAAATATACATAATCAATCTAGTTTGACAATTATGGCCAATTTTGTGAGACATTTGACTAAGTAATGATTTTCTAAAAACTTTTGAAGAATAGATATGTTCGATTCTCTCGTCTAATTTTATATATTTTTTATTTTGTTTATTCCCTTCTAAATTTTATTCAGTGTATAAAAGTCCATATTAAATTTCCGGTATTTTATAACATTTTTAACATATTTATTTATATTTTATTGATTTATTGAAACATAATAAAAGTATTTCAGAGCGCACGTTATGTACGCAAATACGACTATAATTCGTTCATAGTTTGACCTTCAATAAATGTGTACGTAAGTGAGACGTATCCACGCATCTGCACTAACACGGCACACATCAAAAACGGATTTTATCATATAATGTTAGATTGAAATTCTAGCATGTTTTTCAATTTTATTACACCATTATATATATAGCATATATCGCTTTAAAAGATTAGCTTTTGGTATTGTATCGGTGCCAGAAATGTTTTATATAATAATAACTATAAGCACAACTTATAATGAATCTCCTTTTACATTTTCAAGTATTTCTGTTTGGTCTAACAGTTTTATCCATAGAATATTTATCGAATAAAAATGACGTAAAAAAACTTCCAAAATTAAAATGTCTATAAACAGCTCAAAAATGGCTTAAATATATTGAACACTTTACCACATCTAGAAAAGACAAATAAAAGTTTTCTGTCCAAATTTCAAGTCTACGAACATAACAAAAAACAAATAAAATTTAATATAATAAAAGCATTAGTTTCGTAAATTTTTCCGTATTTCCTACGACTTCTCCCAATTATTACGAAAACTGCTTGAAAAACCAAAAAATGACTTTTTTAATGTTCCAACCAGATTAAATTTCCTTACAGAAAAGGTGCTACACTTATTATATCGAAGAAGCAAGATTTCTGGTAGAATTTTTGTACACAGTATATATAAAAAAAAAAAACATCATTGTAAAACCAATATAATTCCTCACTTCACTTAGAATCTAAAAAGTCCACTAATTATTTTAGATTTATTACGCATAAATTCAAGTATAAAAGAATTTTGAACTTTACACGATTTTAATACAGAAACTCATGTTAAATTCTATTATAAAAATTATTATTTTCATTATATTAACTACAGTGTTTTTTTTATGCATTTATTATAATTTTATTGTGAAAAACTTGTATGGTCTAGTAATAATGATATATAAATATTTTAAAAACAAAATATATTTAAAAATAGACGAACGTCTCTTATTATAGAACAATTATTTTGTATAATCGATATTATAAAAATTTGTTTCACAAATCTGAGTGATGGCTCGGCTCTTTCCAATATGTCAAATCTATATAGAATTCATTGCCGCACTTCATTTTGCTGGTCGGGAACGATCTAAATATCAAATTTATTAATACGAAAAAAGCAATAAAAGCATGTACCAATTTTCTATTTACTTGTGATCGATCGTTTTAAAAATATCCTTTTGCACGTGATCTACGTTCGATGTAGCACATATAACATGACCAAGTGTAATTTTCTTAATCTCCTTTAGTTGATCTGATAGGCAAAGAAGATTTTTTTTAACTTTGTATTTCTTTATTTTAAATATAATTTTATTAAACTGTTTGTTTGTACCTGGAGTAAAGCTTCCGGGCTGTCCTTGTACGTCGTAGAAAAATCGATCCCCAACTTTAAACCGATAGAATCCATCGGCAATTAAACATTGTGCTGTTGGTCCGACAATCGCACCGTCACTTAGTTTTTCTAATAACAGCCCCACCATCAAATCAATATCATTCACCGAATGATAAAGTTCCTTCAATGTGTTTATGTCCTAAAATTAGTAGATAATATTATGTTAAATAGTATAAAGTTCTATATAATTGCTTCAAATCATTGCACCAAAAAAAAATATTTTTTTAAGAAATCGAATCTAGAATGAAGTGTCCATTTGTTTGTTTGCTTATCTGTGCGCGATGTACAGCCGAATCTATCGTACGCAGAGATCTGAAGATTTACATACAGAAACGCATGAACGGGTCATGTGCACCTCGCTGCCAGATTTCCGAAATTCAATTTCTCAAGGGTGGCTGACAGTTTGACACAGGGTTTATGATATTTTTGTCACGAAAATTTAATCTGTTGTTGATTTATGAATTACCTTGGTGATGCGTATGAAAAAATAGTTATTATTAATCGAATTGGTTATCTAGGGCAAGGAAATACCCTTAAAAAAAAAAATAATAATTTGTCGGGCAACACCGATAAACTATAATGACAATGCACGACGGAGGACATGAGAACACGCATTTTTATTTTGTTTTATTCATTCAATATTGTGTACGGACAAAGTACGGGGCAGCTGGTAAATAATATTGTTAAATACTCGTAATATAGGTATTCGATCGGGTGTAGACGAATAAGTGCCGAGTCCTGTGTATAATAAAAATATTATTGAGTGATTATTTAATAATACAAATTAATTTTACTTTTATATGTATCAAGTCCACTAAATCATCAAAATCGTTGGCCAACGAACGTCCACATAAATGTCTGACCTGATTGTAAGGCTGTAAACCCACATCTCGTCCCCGTGCAATATCGATTGACAGTAAATCAAGTCCAGTATACGCAGGTTGCTTAGGGAAAGAAAACATATAGTTTGATATCTATATAAATCCAAAACAAAATATATATTAATAATAATAATTAATAATATTAGAAAACATTTAAAATTACAAAGAAATTGTAGGAAGGCTGAGTTATTCGACCCGGTGTCTCCAAAAACCCCTTAAACAATTTATCGAAGTTATTACCAATAGGTAATAAATCTGGATTTGCCATCCAATCCGTAATGTTTATTGAATAATCTATGTTATATTCATTGGACATAAAACTATAAAATTAAAAAGAATACTAAATCACAGTTTTTGTGTAATATTTTGTTTTCAAAACATAATAAGCTATATAGCTCACTATGAATACTCACTTGAATTGCACAGGTATAATAGTGTGAAGAACACGGATAGCAGCACTCGACAATTCTTGAGCCATTGAAGGATCAACAGTCGGATCGTAGATATTTTCTTCGTTAATTCCGTAGATTTCTTGAAAATCTTGTCCTAAATTTAAAAAAAAAAAAAATTGGATTTACAGTAAAACATATTAAAGGTTTCTAATTTTAATCATATTATTATCGATTCTAAGCGCACCAATAATTATCGGCAAGAAATCGTTATACACGATTCGTTGAATAGTAGCAATAACGATTCTTCGTGATTCTTGATAGAGAATTTCATCGGACCAGTATGGATTTAAAGCCGACAGTTGAAAAGCTAAATAATTGTGATACCTTAAAAATAAAGTTTGTATTGCTGTTATTCCTAAATTTTGATTTCCGTTGTCCGGATCCCCTGTGAAAATTATCAAATATATTGGACGGTTATTAAAATTTTGTATACATCATACAAAATAGGTAGGTATATTAAATTATACCTATACATTTTATTATTTATAAGTTATCACATAATAATCACATGGATTTTGAAAAACATTTTGAATTTGTTAGGGAAATTTCACTTTAAATCAATATAATTTTAGATTCTGAGCACAGCAAGGAAATTATTGGTTTTATTATATTGAATGTGCTTTTTATTTAGGTTTTGAGTGAAGCCATGAATATATTAGTTCTATCATGAAGTATACTTATTTATTTATTTAATTTTTAGTTTCAGTATCTGTAGACAACTTTTCTACCAGAAATCTTGCTCTAATAAAAAAAAATAATTTTTGATTTTCCTTTTCTAACACCTATAATTAAAAAAAAACGTAGGAAAAACGAAAATCTAACGACATTAACGGTTTTATTATATTCAGTTTTGTTTTTTTTTCGGTTCAAAATAGAGAAGAGTTATATTAGCTTATTCTAGACATGGTAAAATGTTCAAAATATTCTGAAAATGTTTGACCTATTTATGGAAATTTGACATTTTCGAGTTGTTTAGAAAATTGTTTGGCTGAACAGAAATGCTTGAAAGGAAAGGATGTAAAGGGGAATAAATATAAATCTGTAACGTAAAACCATTGCTAACGAAAACTATTTGTTGCACAGTTCGGTTATACACGTTTTGAAAGGCCGTAATATTTACCATTTTCGTCAAAATTGGATATTGAAATTATTATAAAAAAAAAAAAGTACAAGATACATTGAACTAAATTTATTTTTTACCACAAAGTACTACTTATAATGAACCTCCTAGTAAATTTCCAAGCATTTATGTATAATAATTTTAGTCATAGAATACCTACCTAATAAATACTTAGCTAATTAAATAGCTCAAAAATAACCAAAACATTTTGAAAATTTTACCACGTCCAGAAAAAACAAGTACTTATAAGTTTTTATCCAAATTTCAAGTCTCTGAGAATTTTTAACTGAATTATAACAAAAACACATAATTGAAAATAATATATTTTGTAAATTATTCCGTTTTTCCTTACGTTGGAAGATCAAAAATTGAACTACTTAAACTATAACTCAAATAAAATTTCCTTTCAGGAAAGGTGCTACACTTCGGAGAAAATTGGGAAATTGGAGCAAGATTTCTGGTACAAAAAAAAATAAACATCATTGTAAAATATTCCTTGTTCCGCTCAGAATCTAAAATCATTTATCATACGAAGCAAATTAGAAGAAATAGCTGATATTACTGATTTATGTGCTACTGTCTGCAGTGTACAATGTAAACATGTGACACCCTCTCCTTCAAAAAATCCTGGTTGCACCACTGACCGCTGTTTTAGGTGGGAAGTTGGAAAGGTAAGATACACAAAGTTAATTAATTTATATTTGTAGCAACGATTACAATCTTTCGAATACGAAAAACGATTCTGAGCGAAGTTTGTTTAGATATGACTTGAAAGGCCGTAATATTTTAGATTTGCATCATCATTTTATTTTAAAACCATTATGAAAAACTTACTACATTAGATTTAAATTGTTTTTTTAACCACTAAGTATAACTTGTAATAAACTTCTTGTTAACTTTTTAAATATTTCTGTTCGGTCAAAAATTTGTATGCACAAAATAGCATATGTTTTATTTTAATTTTTTTACATCATAGTAAAATCAATACATTCCTTGCTTCGCTCAGAATCTAAAAACTCGAAAATTTAATAAATTATTGAAATTTGTTCTAAGTTACAAAAGTGACAATCATCAAATCGTATCTAGTCATTTTTTATAAAACGAACCTGTTTCGTATTGGATGTTGGAAGTTTGAAGTTGTATAGGTTCATATTGCTTTTTTTTCTGGATTGGACAAAACATTTCACCGTTGTTGTTCGTCGTAAATTTAAGCCTTCCGCCTTCCATGACTCTGAGGTAGCGGCTAATACTTTCGTTTGATCCATAAACTTCAGACGCATCTATGAATTGAGTATTGATGTTTATCTAAAATCACGAGTACAATAATTTTTTACATACAAGTTAAAAATACCCGAGTAAAAATGAACTCGACGTACAAACGTTGTGGGACTTAACGGACAGCTATAATTCATCGATGTCATTGATCGTGTAACTCCCATGCACGTTATATTGTGCTTGCTGTAAACAGGGTCGTCGGGGGGATCTTCAACTATTAATTGACACTGAGCGAAGGTTTTTCTCGCATTATCATCGGTACAACAGTCGATTATTACGTCTGTATATTATACGAAATATATAGTGCAAATTTATAATAGAAAATTAAAATAAAAGAGAAAGGTAAGATAATAGGGACGGGTGCAGCCACTGATATAGGTGGAAAGTTGGGAAGGTAGGATAAAGACGGGAATTTAATGTTAATCTGTAAGCAACAATAGACCATTGCTTACGAAAAAACGATTCTGAGCGGAGTTCAGTTGATAGTAATGCTTTGTCAACAATATATATATATCATGTTATAGTAAACAAAATAATTAAATAGTCTATGTATTTTCTTTAGTAAAATTTGTATAATGTTGTACCGATTTCCCAATATTTTTCCCGGGTTTCCCATATTTTATCTCGGTTTTTCTCATTTGCTGGAAAAACTTTCGTGAAAAATCAAAAAATGATCTCTCTAAAGTACCTCCCTAGTGAAATTTCCTTTCAGAAACATTGCTATCACTAAAGGTTGAAGCAAAATTGCTGGTAGAAAAGTTGTCCAAAGAAAAGAGAAAATCGTAAATTATATTTATTTCGTAAATTTTTCCGTTTTTTTTTTCGGTTTTTTGCATTTGATGAGAAAATCGAAAAATGAAATCTCCTTAATGTACTTCCCTACGTCGATTTTCTCTCAGAAAAGGTGCTACACGTAGAAATTCGAGCAAGTCTTCTGGCAGAAAAGTCGCGCAAAGATAAAAAAAAAAAAAAAATAAATATCTTTGTAAAACCCTAAATTTCTTCGCTCCATTCAGAATCTAAAATTAAACAGTATATAAAATATCGGCTTACCATTTGGGGTTCTCGGGACATCGTTTGGTAAACCTGATATATCGTGTGCTATCAGTTGTCCGAATGGCAATAAGAGCACATTGTTTTCACTAAGACGATAGATTTCTCTACTTAAAAAGAGTTTAATATTAATTATCCGGGGATTCGGTAATTTGCTTCCATTTGTTTGTCTTCGAAAATCGTAATGACCTTATGAGTATAATACAACAATATTGTTTGTTAATAATAAATTATAATTAAACATTAAATTAAATAACATTACAAGTTAAACAATACACTCTAGGTTTTGAATAAAGAAATGTTAAATCGAGAACCATGACATATAAGAATATATCATTAAATAATAATTGTCATTTTTTTGAGTTTTTTGATGAGAAAAAAATCACAGACCTTACAAATCTTATGTTACCTATCTTCTTTGTTTTGTTTCAGTATATTATATAAAAATAAATTTATAGGAATATTAAATCACATGCGAGCAAAGGCACCCACAGGGTGAGCAAAAGGAGCCTCCCTGAGATTTTCAACTGTATATAATTTTATCTCGCATAATGACATAACATTTTATCATAACAATATAAAGTATTTTTAGAATAAAACATTGTCCCCGTTTTGCCGATTTTATCCTGCGAGCGCGCTTGTGCGTGAGCAGCAGAACTCCTTTATTTCAAACGAATTTCTATCAATTTATTTTGTATTGTAGAAATCTTCCATCCTGTGTAGAAAACTGAACCCGCTTACTTAATTTCGAGGTTATGCAGATGCGTTAAAATTTCAAAAACACCTCTCTCCCACCACAACAAGCTGAATATAGAAAATAAATCCAACTTTTATCACTTCAATCGAGCAATTCACCTGAAAACAACTCTAATTCACTAGTTTAAATTTATTTGATTTAGTGCCCAAAGAGAGTTGTTAGAATTGTCAAAAATATACATAGTTATATAATATATTTTAAAAATAAATCTACACAATGTAACAAACACAGTCTTTGTATTCTGGGAAAATTAGGCAAACGAATTATAATTTATAAGATTGATTATATATTTATACATTCATATGTAATTGATTACATACGATGAGCTTTTATTTTGATATTAGTCATTAGTATTTTCTACCACATGAAAAATAATGCCTAATTTTAATTTACCGCGTATTGTTTCTCTTTTAAAAATTTCATTAAAAACAAAAAAAAAGGCAAAGCTCAAAACGAGAATTACGTTGTGGCTTGTTTTGTTTTTTGAATTATAAAAGTCAAAAAGTTATAAAGTTATAAAGTCGGGCTTACAATTTGCAACCCGACCGACCTGCTTGATAAAACACATTTGTTTAATATAAAATCGATTTTACCATCATTGTAATTAGCGTCGAGCAAACGGAGAAATGATGTTTTCGCTGCGCCCCGTGTGGGCACGTACAGATTATTACAAGACCCATTTATACTCCTATATTTGACATTCGGATCGCATTTTACACGTGGGGCACATTGGATCAAGTAATTGTCGTTAGTTGTTGCTTTACTCGAAATATGTAGTGGATTCTTCGTGGTCTGTAATAATTTAATAATAAACTGTCAATTGTAAGTAATTCGGTAGCATATCATATTGTATCGTTTATGTTATGCATTCGGTTTTATGGTTATGGTTTTTGGTTTGGGTTGTTAAATTCAATATTTTACAATATTAGGCTTTTATAAATAACAAGTAACGCCAGTAAGTAACTGGTTGTTTTCTGAAAATCGAAAGACTTGAACTGATTATTGAAAGAATCATTAAGCCATATATTATCACATACTCGTGTATAATGATTAATAGTTGTATATTATTATTTGCATGACATATAAATTATTCAATTCCGTCACTTATGTAAATTTTTCGACGAAAATATCTGAAAATTACCATTTTAAATTTATATTTAAAATAATACTGTAACCGAGTTCTTTAAACAGTCTCAATTCGAATAGGTCATAAATATAACATCCAATTCAAAACACTAGACCAAGGCCTTAGTCTGGGAAAAGGTGGAGGAGGTACAGGATTCCAGAACTCTTATGAATTATTTTTAGAATTAATACAATTCGGTAGATTTTTAAACAACTAATTTCGATTTATTTCCAAGTATACATTTTTTATTTAAAGTGCTATGGTTTCAATAGCAACGCGCTCAAGAGAAGTTTTTCATCCCCTATAAAGGGACCAAAAAAAAGTTACGCTTCAAAACGTCTTGTAGTTCTTTTGAGTATTCATAATAGAAGTATCTAAATGCATCTAAAGTAATTTTAAATAATTTTGCTCTTTGAAAAGATAGATCCAATTTAGATAGGTCCCACGATTTTCATATAATGAATAAATAACTGCCAATTTGTTTGTAAATTCAATTGTATTATAACAACGGTTATTATAAAATAACCCCTTCACTCTGCTTAGGATTTGTTTAACACTAATACAATACTTTGATCTGTTCCGAATCATTAATCAGATAAATTATACTTATCTAACAAAACGAGTTATATCATTACGAACCTTGCATGAACTATGATACAATTGTACAGTCCACGCATTCTTAGAATAATAAAATAGGTAATACTACAGAATGCAAATTTCATTAGAAAATTTATAATAATAAGGAGAATTAATAAGCACAAAATTCAATAATACTTCGATTATTTTACATTTAAAATTTGATATTTTTAATAGTGAACATATACACCAGAGTTTAGCGAGATTTCATAAAACAATTATTTTCATATTATGATGTTATTTATATTTATGAGTATAATATATTATAACTTTATTTTTTTATGAAATTTAAAAAGTTGTGGTATTTATGGTTCAACATAAAATAATACGATAATATAAATCCTTATTTGATTTATTTAACAATTTTTGATGAAATTGTTTACCATTGTTTATTTTACCACTATAAAATGACGATGAGTATACCTTTATGACATTATTAGATTCTGCTTCACCTTTGAATAGAACGAACAGAAGATAAAGAACACCAAGTAATAGAATACTAAGGAAAATCGCTCGGAGAATCCATGTCCGGTTATTCTTCAAATTTGTTTTAGCTTTGTTCAATAACGGCCTGAAACATGAAAAAATATGCATTCAAACAAAATAAACTGTAATCAAATTATCATATTTTTAGGTTAAATACTGTATAATGAAGGCATGGATGGGATACAGTAAATCGTCATTGAGAACTTTTCTGAAATTATTCATATCAACAGTAAAGGTAAAAATTTTAAAAATCTATAATATTTTTAATAGTCAATAATACATTATAATTCATTCAATTTTTTAAAATTGAAAGTTATTGTAAATACGTCTATAATCTATATGGGTCTATATGTGGTTTAATAAACAGTTCAAAGTATTAACCTATTTTAGGTGCCTTTTTTTATTTGTTTTTTAATCTCGCGAGTTCTGAATATTATAAAAATTGATAGCGAAATCAGAGTCAGAGTCATACATTCTAATCAGTGGCGTATTCATAGGAGGGGGAGGGGGTCGGGGGTCAAATCCCCCTAATTGGTCTTTTTTTTTTTAAATAAGTATTATTATGTACATTATCCGTATCGACTATTATGCATGAACATATATGTTCCACTTTAAACATGATCAAAACATACTTGCGAAATACGATGTCAGAGGTACATTTATAATTGAAAATTAGAATAGGTTCTTTATAAACATAACAAACCTAATAACCAAATATTTTGTTCATTAAAATCGATTTAATGGATTTGCTATTCTGAAAATCCATAGACATGTCCCGATAGATCGAAAGTACGTAAGTAGTGAATTAAATTTCTCTGTAGGCCAAGGAGAGTAAATATTTGTATTATAAATTTTACATTTTATTTGTTATTAATATCTAAAATTCTATCTACCACTTATCTCCTAATTATCTTGTTGTTGTGATAATCGTTTTTCTTCTAAACTCTACACACTTTCCCCTGAGAATAAGTCATAGCTAATAAGTTTGTACCCCCGACTTCTATACAATTTTCAAAATTTGTTCATTTTCTCGCAAGACCTACCCCAAATTACGTCACTTACTCTCATATCTATACAATACTGCAGTCCAAAGTTTAATATTAAGTAAGAAATAATCAATTTCCAAAATGTGTCAAAAACGGTTTCTCTTTATCTGTGAAATAAACATTTTAAAATTTGTGTTCAAATTATGAAAACTACCATAAAAAAAAAAAAAAAAAAAATTATAACCGTATTGTAAATATTGAGCAAAACCTAGTAACAAAATAAAATATCTATAATACATTTCTACGATGTTAAAAGCATTTTGAACGTGTACCTTATATAGATTGATTTTTTTTTTTTATATAGTAAAACAAAATAATACAGGGGCGATTATATTAACAATTAAAATATTATATACTGCTTATTGTACCTAATGCTAATATATTTTTCACTAACGTGGAAAAAAAACAAAATATCAGCATTAATAGCAATGACATAAATTTTAAAATCATCGTAAACCAGTGAAAACTCGTAATAATTTTTTTTATAAAAGTCATAATATGTGTTCAGTTATTACTTATAATAACTCAATATTTATAAGTATACGATAAATGACCGTTGTTGTCATAGCGATTTTTAATACGATTTTCGAACAAAAATCGAAAAACAAATTTGACTTTCGGTAACTGTGAAATATGTAATCTCAGTATATTTATAAAAATGATCAAAAACAAAACATTTATTATAATGCTTTTAGAAATTAACTAGCATAATGTTTTGTGAAACCATCAAAAATATCAATACACTTACTTGTTTTCATTATTTCCAGAAAACCAATTCATTTTATGCGGTTTGTCAGCTGCCGTTCAATATTAAAAATCTCACTAAACAAAAAATACATATATTCACAATATGAGTACCAAATAAGGTATCAATTAAATAAAATGATGTATTCTATTGGCAATACAGTTCCAAGTTAAATATTTAACAAACACATTTAAAATACAAAATCATAAGATTCGTGCATCACATAGTTTAAATTCGTAAAACTATTAGTCCGTGAAAAAAAAAATATACGCGCAATGTTTTACATTGAACTGTACACGAATAAATTAGGTAACTGATCAGCAAATAAAACCAATTAATACATTCGAATATTATGATTAGAGTTATACCCAGAGTAAAACTATAATAGAGGTAGGTATAAGTGTTATTATTATTTTTTTTTTTTATTGATTTGATAAGTATTATAGTAGAGATAAACTTAATCAGATGTTCGCAAAATAGATGTTAATTCTAAAACCTAACCTATAGGAGGAATCAGTAATAAAATATAATTAATAATTAATATAAATAATAATAATAAGTACGTTGCTACAGTTCAACGTGCGTAACGATATGCAACTTGGAAATCGAATAACGAGTAAAACATAATAATAATAACGACGATATCAATAGGCTTACCTAATCGTCATTAAAGTGAAGAAAACCAAAAAAATACACCTAGGTAGTTAGCATCATACCTATGTTGGTACCAATTTTATTACAGTCGGTTATCATTACAATACAATAACTATTTCAATTTGTCTAGTAATATTTAACAATGAAATAAATTTATAATTAACGTACAACATTAAATAATATCCGAGTATTATGAAACAGAAAAAGCACACGATAAGTAAAACAAAAAATTTTTAATTTCGGATTTTTACCAACACTATAGTTATTTTTATCCTATGATTTACCAAATTCCATATGTAAAAGTTCAAACTACAAAAATTATTCGGGATTCGACCAAACTATTTTATTCTAACAAATTAACTACAGATTATAATTTTTTTTCAAAACCGAAAACAAAATATTATTATACTCTATACTATTATTGTTAAATTAATATAACAACAAAATTAAAAATAACAAAAACATTATTACAATATTTCCGTTTTCCTACCTTATTCTATTGATTTTTAGACGATATTGGACCTTATAAACCATATAAACTTTGTATGCTAAGAAACTGATGAAAATCGAACAAATTAAAAAAAACAAGTGAACATATTTCGCACAATGGATGGGCTACTATTTTAGGTGAGAAGTTGAGAAGGTTGAAAGGAAATTTAATGTATAATTGTACGCAATGATTGCAAACGAAAAACTATTCTTAGCGGAGTTCGGTTATATATGTTTTGAAGGACAGTGATATTTACAATTTGAAAATAATACATTTCGTAAATTTTCCCGTTTTCCCCGGTTTTTCTCAGTAATTATGAAAACCTACAGGAAAATCCAAAAAATACCTCCCTAAAGTACCAATCTAGGAAAATTTCCTTTCGAAAAAATTGTTAAACATGAAAATTGAAGAACGATTTCTGGTAGAATAATTGATAACAAAAAATAATTTTTAAAAAGCTGATACTAGGGACGGGTGTGACCACTATTGTAGATGAGTAGTTGGGAAGGTTAGATAAATAATTTTTTTTTAGTTTATACCTGTAACCAGCAATAAACCATTGCTAAAGAAAAACGATTATAATTATATTATATTTATGATGTTCGTAAAAATTTGTGTTTAAACTAAAATAATACATCACAGTCAATTATGTTAGTTTAACCATCAAATACGATTTATATTAAACTTCTTGTCAAATGTTTAAGTATTTCTGTTTAGTCTAACATTTTATTCATACAGTTATAAAAGTAGACATCTTATACCTTATACCTTTTAATCCACCATTAATTTTAACGAATCATTTTCAAATCTCTGCTGTGCATCTTAGATAAAATAAGAAACTATGTGAATTTGTGATAATATTATATATTGATAACCCACCATATTACCTATCCATAATATTATATAATACGAGTTTAATGGGTATATGCATAATTGAAGTATTTCGTGAAAACATAGGTCCTAATAAATAATATTGCTCCTAATTATTTCTGCCTATATCATCAAATACAAAATAAATAATTAAATACTTATATATTATCATGTATCTGTTATGTAATATATTATTATTATACGAATACCTATTAATATTTTTAATTAAAATTATTGCGTATAATTATGGGTGCGTTATATAATCGATAATTATTTGGTCTCATTCTTTTTTGTCTTTTTATATTTTAGATTCTGAGCGGAGCGGGAAATTTATTAGTTTTACAATGATGTTTATTTTTTAATTTTTATTTTCTGTGGATAACTTTTCTTCCTGAAATTTTGCTCTAATTTACAATGATAGCAATTTTTCTAAAAGGAAATCTGACTAGGGAGGTATTTTAAAGAGGTCATTTTTTGATTTTCCTTGAAGTTTTCCTATAAATGGGAAAAACCGGGAAAATGGGAAAATAGTTACAATATTAAACAAATATTATTAAAGAAAATATATAATGCACATTTGATTATTTAATCATAATATGACATATATATTGTAGGCCACTATCAACTGAACTCCATTCAGAATCGTTTTTTCGTTAGCAATGGGTAATCGTTGCTTACAGATAAACATTAAATTTTCTATAACAGTGGTTGAATCAATCCTCATTATCCTAGTACAGCTTTTTTTTTTTTAACAGGGTTAATTATACATGTGTAGGAAAAAAACTGTGATATTCGTCAAACGTATTCTATTATGAATTAAATAATAATATAAACCTCGTGTGGATAAATATTTTTAAGGTAGTAGAAAGATTTCTGACGCAAACTGGGATATTTAGTAAAACAGGTGATTGTAGAAGACACCCTATAGGGAAAAAAGTCCTTTGTGGAGAACAAAATTAAGGTTGGGTGATGGTGTTAAGCCATCTTAACACAATCCACTTAACCTACCTTGGGTATTAAGGCAATGCATTCGGAAACCCAATATAGAGAAAAGGGGAAAAATGAGAAAAAACGAGAAAATGTACAAAAAAAAATTATGATATTTTTTTCTGTGGACAACTTTTCTAATAGCCATTTTGCTCCTATTTACAATAATAGTACTTTTTCTAAAATAAAATCAGACTGGAGAGGGACTTCAGAGAAGTCATTTTATGATTTTCCCAGTTTTTTCTTAACAAATGTGAAAAACCAAAAGAAAAAAAAACGGAGAAATGTACGAAATGTAGGTATTAGTTGAAAAATATTTCGGTCTTTTATTTTCCTATGAAAAACTTTTTTACCAGCAATTTTTCTTTGGTTTACAAAGACAGCACTTTTTCTGAAAGGAAATCTGATTGAGAAGGTACTTTAAGGAGGTCATTTTTCGATTTTCTGAAAAGTTTTTTCAGCAAATGTTTAACGTAAAACGTAGAAAAACGGGAAAATATTAAACAAATATTATTAAAGAAAATATATAATACCTATTTAATTATTTTACCATAATATGAAATTATATATTGTTGAAAAAGCATCACTATCAACTAAACTCTGCTCAGAATAGTTTTTTTCGTTAGCAATGATCTATCATTATTTACAGATACAAATATATTTCTCCTCCATATCCTATCTTACCAACTTCTCACCAACAACAGTGTCTGCACTCATCGTGCGAGATATTTCCGTATTTTTAATGTATTAATATTGAATAAATATAGACATTTAATAAATAATACAACAGATGTATAAATATATTGCAAATAAAAATTGTTTTCAAGTGCCTACTTACAATATTTTCTATTAAACGAAATGAACATGATTGATTCTAACATAATTTTCAAATAAAGTAAATAACAGTTTTGGTGGCGATGAAAATATTATATAAAACTAAAATACATATTACAGGTTGAATGAAAAAAAAATTATAAAAACGTTAACGTTTACACTGACATGATATTCCTAATTAGATATGTATCTAAATAAATGATCATTCTATTATAATATAAAATGAGTAGTAGTGAATATATATTATTATATTAGGTAATATTATTCTTTCCATTGCGATAAGTCAATTTTATACGAATCACAACTATACTTCTGACTTGACATCCATCTAGCAAAAATAAGACGCACGTTATTATCATTTATTCTTAAATTTATTAAGATGCTTAATTTCTTACTTGTGATCAACGTATCTAAAACTTTCTTTTTGCATGTGATCTAAGTGCGATGATGAACACATAACATTGCTGAGCGAGATATTTTTCAGCGATTGTATTTGTTCTGCAAAAAATGTAAAAAAGAAATTTAATAAATCCTATATGACCATGAATACAAATTATTAATAATATATTATTCATTTCATATACATACCTAGGGTAAAACTACCCGGCTGTCCTTGAATATCGTAAAAGAAACGATCACCAGCTTTGAACCTATAGAAGGTGTCTCCGATTACACAAGCGGTTGTTGGGCCGACCATTGATCCACTTCTGGGTTTCTCCAAAATAGCTCCAACAATAAAGTCTATGTCGTGCACTGTAGAGTAGAGCGTTTTCAATGTTTCAATATCCTAAAAAAATAAAATAATACGTAGGAAAGTCACATGATTTAAAGATTTGGAATGTTTTTTATGTGACCTTTCAACTCTCATACAAATGTTATCTAATTTACGTACTTCCAATGAAATTAAATCGGATAAATCGGAAAACTTAATCGCCTTTGTTAATCCACAAATTTGCCTTATTTTGTTATATGGCGGTAATCCGTTGTCTCTGCCTCTTTGTATATCGTATGATAGCAAATCGAAACCGGAGTATCCATCCAGGTTCGGTATTTTGAACACGACATTTGTAATCTAAGAAAGTGAAAGAAAATAATATCATCCCTTTACGTGTATCGTGTTATTTAAAAAGTTAGGTGTTGTGTTTACCAAAGTATTGTAGGATGGTTGTGCAAGTCTGCCAGGTGTCTCCAAGAACCCTCGTAACATGTTGTCGAAATTTCCTACGAGCAAGTCTGGTTTCAGCAATATTCTGGAAGGCTCTACTTGGTCGACGGTTGAATAATTGGCAGCTATAAGACTGTTGATCATACGTCATATTTGGTAGGTTATTAAATTATCTTATACTCTATATCGTTTTATTATATAGGTACGTACTTAAATTTTGCGGGAATAATATTGTGAACCGCTCGGAAAGCACCACTTGTCATTTCCTGGGCTAAAGCTGAACTGATTGAAGGATCGTAAACCGTTGGCCCGGTCAATTTATACTCTTTCATGTATTCATCGCCTAGAAATTTAAACAAAGTTCAGACTTCATGTCTGAGACCGTCCCTACATCGATAATTTACCCGTAAATATTTGTATACCTACCGAGAAGAACAGGCAAGAAATGATCGTAGGTAATAACTTGCATCACTGCCCCAATGATCCTACGGGTTTCTTGATAAACTCTTTCATCCGACCAAGACGGATTTATGGTTTGTAGTTCGTTGGCGAGGACATTGTGAAATCTTAGAAATAAATTTTGAAACAACGCGATGGCCAAATTTTGATTGACGTTGATATCACCTAATAGAAAAAAAAACAATAACAACAAAGTCATTTTCGTTATTACTGTTCTTCATTTGCTGTATTATTAGTTACCTACCTGCAGTGAATTGAACATTAGATTTTCCCAAAGGGCCGTCTTTAAATTCCGAGTCCGGATTTTTAGGACAGTATTCTTCATTTTCGTATATCCACGTTCTGAGTTTACCATTTTCAAACGCTCGAAGACTATCGGCTGTTTTTAAATTTGATCCGTATACGTGTGATGCATCTATATATTGAGTATTTCTATTTAACTAAAATTATTTTCAATGTTTATATTAATTATTATTGACAGATACAAAATAAATTATTTTAATGTCAATATATTATGATGTCGAAAATTATTAACATCATTCGAGGTGAAATTTATAGGTTAGGTTAGATAACTAAAAATAGGGAACACTATTATGTAATGATCAAGGTGAATTACTGCAAAAGTTGGGAAAAGAGATAGAGAAGAAGACTATATTAGGTAGGTAATTTACAATTTATTATTATCTAAGTTTGATATTTCTTCTTTAATAATTAGATACCTAATATACACCTATTATACAAGTAGATTAATTTGATGAAAAATAATCTGCATTCATTTGTGAATTCGTAGAAGAACTAATAAATTACTAAATCTATACTGTGATTATGTAAATGCTACAAATTGGCTATGTAACGAGTCTAATCCAAAGATTATAAATTGATCACGGTTTGCTTTAGAGAGTAATAATTTTATTTTAAATTTCGAACGTAGTGAGGGAACTATTGGTTTTACTAAGATGTTTATTTCTTTTTTTTCTGTGTTCTAGTCTGTAGACATGTTTTTTCTTAGTAAACTTGCTCAGATTTTTACGTGTAGCAACTTTTCTGAAAGCTCAAGTTGTCTAGATGGTACTTTAGAGAGGTCATTTTTAAATAAAAGCACTAAAGTGGGTAAAAAATATAGGAAAACGTGCAATTTCACAATTACATTATTTTTTAAAACATGGACGACGTTTTCTACCAGAAAAAATTATTTAAACGAAAAATTACAAGATACCTTTTTTGTTTCCTTTTTAATTTACTTTCTTACCGTATCATTGCAAACAATTTTAAACCACTATTGAGCTTTTAAGGAATTTTAATTTTTGGGAATTTTTTGCTGTAATTCGGTTATAAATACACATAAAGACTTGAAATTTGGTAATAATACTTATATTGAACTTGTCTAGACGTGGTAGAATTTGCAAAATCATCGAACGATTTTTTTTTTTTAAAAAAAAAAGCGTTTTGAAATTAAATTTAAACGAAAATCGCAAAAATTATGTATTATCGAACTACGCTCAGAATCGTCTTTCGTCAAGCAATAGTTTATCGTTGCTTACAAATATAAATGAAATAACCTTATGTATCCTATCTTCCCAACTTTTCACCTACAACAGTGACCACTCCTATCTCCAGTATCAACTCTTTTTTTTATTTGTGGTTTAAAAAATATAAAAATTCAGAGTTTCTTTCTAAATATTGTTTTATAGTTTTTGTTCACGATGCCGTTTTTAATATTGAAACAATAAAACTGTACATATTAATAAGTATATCATAAGTGATTATAATATTATTCTGAAGTAAGCCAAGTGATGCGATTAAAACCTGACATGTAATCATATCAAACTTTCTTTTTTTTTTTTATCCAAATTAATTTCTAATAACGGTATAAATAACGTCATTATAATACTAATATATTTCTTATATAAGACTTACAATAGTTCTAGGTATTAACGGGCAGCTGAAATTCGCCGAAGTTGTAGATCGAACGAATTTGAACAGCGATACGTTATACGGACTGTATACAGGATCGTCCGACGGTATTGTTATAATCGTTTCGCATTCGAAAGGCAGTGTCGACTTATCTTTATCAAAACAGTGATCCAAATGCGCTAAAAACACACGAATTAAACACTCGTTAAACTCAAATATCAAACCCTAGTAATTTCACGGATAATAATAATACATATGACAATTTAGTCATTCCACGTACCTGGTGTATCCGATCCTCTAATATCGTCGGGATAGAAAGATACATCGTGAGTCAAGAACTGTCCCCACGGAACCAATATCTCACTATGTTCGTAATCCAAATACTGGATATCTCTCAAGTAAAACAATTTCAAACCCACCACTCTAGCACTGGGTAATGGCTTTCCATCCAATTGCTTTCGAAGCGTTTCATTACCTGCAGATCCAACGAAACGTTTAATGCAGTTAATAGTTTAGCGTGAATATAAGATCTGTTTCGTGTAATATTATATTAAATTCGTGAAAAAAAAAAATAAAAATACGAAAAAAAACAACATAAAACTCTCGGTGAAAAAAAAATGCTCAGAATTTTGTAATTTAGACGAAATTGTATTTTTCGGTACACAATTCGATTTTTTTTTTTTTTTTTTGATTTTCGTTTATTACATGATCCTTCGATCCTATTCGGCTTTTAACCTTGCATAGGTGTATTATTACCGTCGTCAAATTCTGCGTCCATCAATCTGTAGAACGGCGTCATAGCCGCTCCCCAGTTGGGATTCTGCAAATTATTACACGAACCGTTGTACGTCCGATACTTGGCGTTCGGGTCACAGGTGACGGCAGGGGCGCATTTTTTGAAATAGTCTCCGTTTGTCGTGGCTACGCTTGACACCCTTGATCCCGATAGTCCCGGTTTAGTCTCGATATATGAGACGACACTGATTGTTTTTGTGGATAAAACGGTGATAGCGTCTACAACGGTATCGACCGTGTCCGATGAACTTTTGCTAGGGAAAGCCAAGTACACGATGACAAGTGCGGAAATGCCGATAATCAATACCGTTATTAAAAATGAAAACCATGATTTCTTCCAAAACGGCTGTAATTCGGCTTTGGCTCGAAGCAGTGGGCTGAAATATATGATAGAATATTATAAATGTGTAGGCACATTTAAACAAACAGCGTTGAAAATGAGGTGATTGGAAAATTTGTTATCATTTAAAAAGAATAAAAAAGAACTTAAGTTGCGCCTCAATAACTGTAATGTTAGAGGTAGGTTATAGATAATTCGATCGTAGAGTTTAATACCTACCTGACTGATTTTTTATTTTTTTTAAGTTTTGAATATTTGTATTATTTAAATTTTAAATTAATATTAATCAACCACTTATATAATAATTGAACGTCATTTATTTTATATTCTAAGTGTAGCGGGGTGTATATTGGTTTTGCTATGATATGTTTTTTTTCCTGTCTGTAGACGACTTTTTATCAGAAATCTTGCTCCGATCATCTCTAACAGGAAAATCTACTCAACGGTTTCAGTTATGTTCGTTATTGTATTTTTATTTTAATTCAGTTAAAAATATTCATAAAGACTTGACATTTGATAGAATATTTATATTAGTCCTTTCTATATTTGGTAAAAACATACATGCCGATTTTGAGCTATTTATAGCCATTTGAAATGTTTGAGTTTGTTTAGTTTTGATACAATTTTGTGCTGATAAAACTGTGTTGGTCAAGTAAAAATGCTCGACTATTCAACCGGAAGTTGCACTTAATGAAAAAAAAAATTTAGCGTACCTAGTATTTTTTTTAAAAGTTAAAATTCAAAATCTTGTAAAAGTCATTAAAATCGCGGCATTTCAAAACTTGTTTAACGGAAATTCGCTTAGAGTCGTTTTTCGTTAATAATAATAATTTACTGCTGCGTACAGATTTAAATTAAAATACTTCCATACCCTTATATATATCCTATCTTTCCAACTTTTTACAATGCAATCATATCGTAACTATACGAATTGGCTATAAGTATATTACGTATAAGAGTAAAGATTGGCTTTGAAAAATATTTACCACAATCATTTTTCAAAATGTTATATTCAAACGAAAATCAGACCTATAACCTACTCACTTAATAAAAATACATATTATGTAAGTACTAAATATTGAATAGGTATAATTTATTGTATTTAAAAAATAAATAAAATAGGTGTTCAAAAAGTGCAATAATTGATACGGTTTTAGCTGTTGAAATAATGATAATAAACGGTTCATAATAGCATTATTATATAATGTGCGCATTATACAAACTTTTGTGAAATAATGTGAACACTGTATAATTCATAGTGTTTTCGTTAAAAGACAAAAAAAAAAAAAAAAAAAAAAAAAAATCAAAAATGAATATTTACTCAGTCTCTCCGCTGTCGAACGGATTTAATCTGGTGAAGAACGATTTCATTTCATTTGTTTTCTCGAGAGCATACAACAATTTACTAATAATAAGACGCTACCAGCCACAGCACTGAGGCAACAATAATATTATGTACCTACTCGTATAATAAGACTATCTCAGATGCATTCCCCTGCTTGTATATTTGTACAGAACCGGTTTCAAACAAAGGTTGAATAAGTAGTTGACCAGCTGTTGATTAGCTGTTGACATTGGAATCGTTCGGGAAATTTGGAATATTTAGTTTTTACATAATATAATAGGTACCCCTAAAAAAATATTGTTGTTCAACGGGAGTTTTGAGAAAACAAAGGTACAAGGCATTTTAAAAATTGGCAAAAAACAAACACGAGGTGTACAACCTTCCTGCTCGAATCCGAACACTTAGTTTTAGCGCATTGTATTTTAGGAACTATATCAATAACTAATAATAGGTTTATTTTTTTCCGTTTTCACTTTATTAATTATTAATATTGTTTCTAGAGGTCTCCATTAAAACCACGAATTTGTACGTAGGTATGTGAACACGAGTCCGTGTACATTTGAACGAACAATTTCTCTTCACCTGAATTTATTATCCGTGTTCTCGTTCATTTACTTATTCACGTGAATACGTGAATAATTACACGTGTGTACGGAATTTTTTAAGTACACGGCTTTATAGATTCGAATGTTGATTTCACGTGAACACGTGAAAAGCGTGTATCTACACACAAAATGGAAGCTCTAAATTTATTACCAATTATTATAAACTCGTTTTTCGTACAGATACAATAATATTATACAAAAATTATAACCCCGATTAGCTGTTATTCTAATCTTGAAAACTATCATAAGTAATAAGTTACTATAGGAATATTATTATTTGATCGGTTTATATTAAGGCATAAACTTACGAAAAGAAAATCTAATCTGATAAACCGGAAATAAGTGTACCTTATTAGGTAATAGGTACCTTTCGAAAACCATAAAATACCATCCTATTTTGTAAATATCAATAAGAAATTTAACTTTTTGATCCATAGGTACCCTATTAAATTCTGCATTTGGTTTAGACATCGTTAGAATTAATTAAAAAAATTAAAAAATTTTAATCTGTGCATGAAAAAAAAAAAATCTCACAAAATTACCAGTAATAGTACAAGTGTTGTAATAATCGATAACTATTTTTGTTTATATAGCGAACAAAGTCCTTTGCCGAATCAATAAAAATGTTATGAGAATAATAATTACCACTGCGGGATTTATTAATATTTATTTGTACGGACTCGCGTAACATTACGTCACTCGCTATACTTATACATAAATAATAATTAGTTTGTTATAAATTATTTTAATAATTATCTCCTTTCCCGCATTCTCCCTCCTGTTTGTTTTAGAGTCGATCACCCTGTATAACAGGGTGTACAATCTTCAAGATGGCACTCATCATCCCGGAAAGTATTCGACATTTTATCTTTTGATCAATTTATAAAAACAATCAGCTTTAAAAATGTTAAGTTACCGTTATTTTTTGTCACCTTTGTTTTTTTTTTTTTTTTGTGGAGGGGCGTAAAAACTACACACTTTTGATTTTAAAATAACATCCTCCATTACAAATCCCATAAAAAGATGATTTTTTAGATTAAATACATACATATAAAATTAAATATATATACATAAAAAATACATTTTGGTGTTAACATTTTTAATTTCCGTCAACTCATCGACGAGACATTACACTTTTAAGTTTGGGTAAGGGGATAATACTGAAACATTATTTGTGTGGTAACGCGGCCCGTGGCATTTAAATAGTGTTCCAATACATTCCTCTACCAAAACTTAAAAGTAGAATTGTCCAACAATGTCTTACCCTTATTCAACCTAGCTATTATTACAAAATGTCTTTTATTTTCTACTATGGGTATATTAGTTGGCATTATCGTGGCATTATTTTACAGCCAAAATATTGAACTATGAAAACAAACCAATAGAAAACAAAAATATTTTATTTTAATTTATCTCAAAAATTAATTGAGTTTTATGGAACAGTGACTTAAAAAAACCCTATAACATTTATTTTAAATTTATTATTACTATTTTGAAAAAAAACCTGTACAATTGATTGTTTATAAAAATATATCGAAAAAAACGCGTATGTACTCACTGTTTTTCAGTTGGTGAGAAATCCTTATCGACCTTTTTAAAAATATTAACCATTTTTAAATAGATAAATTATCCGTAATGATGATCTACGTTCATTCTTTGACTGAGAAAAAAAGATTCAGTTAGTACCAATACTAAATACTTACAATGATGCATCGAGTTAGTTTCTCCCACCTAATTTATTATTATAACACGCGAATATGATAAACCACTAACAAACTATATTTTATGTTCTGCACACGTGTGTGATAATAAAATTCACTTCCTATTTAATAATTATTACTGTATAATAATATTCTTATTCGCTGTGAAATTATCACTAATCAACATAAACAATAACTACCTATGTGCGAACCTATTAAAATCGATAAAACAATTGTAATACATGTAATAAAGTGCGAGGTACGGTCGAGACTACTGAACGCTGAGATGTTAAATTTTGAACAGATTGATCAGTAGACAAATAGGGAGAGAGTCAACAAGACTTGGATTTTGGACTTTTTTTCATTTTTTTTTTTGATTACTGATAGGGCTTTTGTTTGTTTTAATTTGTTTTTTGAAAAACGGTGAAAACTGCGTTTTTGTCGTTTTCTAACACTCCAACTGTAACCAACAATTTTAAAAACCGTGATTAACACCGAGTGGGAAACCAAAAGAGGGTGGAGGGAGAAATAGTGCTAATTCTCCTCAACACCGTCGTTTACTGTTTTTTTCTTGTATTGTAATAAAATATATACCATGTTTAATTGTTGTAAATGGTTTTGTGCCGTCCCAATTTAAGGTATGTATCCGCCACCCAAACCAAAACTGATGAATTTCTAAAACCGTTCGCAAAACCGAATCCGCTAAAACTCACATGAGTTTTCAACCAATTTTACTACTAATTATAATTATCGCTGATTTTTAAAATACAAATTTTCATTTGAAGAAAATGTTTTTAAATTTATCAATAATATTTCTGAAAAAAATATTGAATTCGATTCATGTTATAAGTGTTATAAGTAGTATGAAAAGGGCGGTTCTAAACCATGAGTATGATTAATGAGTATTAATGATTAATAATCAACTATTGTCCACCTCTTCATCGACCTATTTAGCCACGCCCCTTTAATAAGCTATACTTTAACACGGCCGCCCGAATTGCCCATCTCTTCGTCGACCTATACACCCTCCCCCCCCTTTTTAAATATTTTTTTCAATATTTTCTATATGCACCACGTACTCGACTTAGTGTTATCATATACCTACTATTTTTGTACCTACATCGTTATCATGCACCCGATGTTTTCATACCTACTGTCATCATATACTTACCACCAAATACTACTATCACCTTCCCATACCCGCCGACCACACACACACACACATACACGCACACATCTATACATATCTATACACACACACATGCATAACAGAATTATTATTTATAAGAATACCTATATGTATAGTTGATACAGTCGGCGAAAGAATATTATTATTATTTTTATTTTTCGTCATCACTATAGGTACATACCTATATTATAAGGATTACCATTATAATACGATGTGTCGTACGAATTTTTCTTCTAAGTATAAAATTTATATTGTCGTACTCGGTCAGTCATTAGCTACTAATAGACTCTTGCATAGTATTACTTTCTAATTTAGATCCACAGCCTTTAATAGCATTATAAATACTTCGATCGCCTATAACGAGTAAGTATTATATATCGGTAGTCAAAAGTCATTAGATCGCATATAGATGTTAATATACTATTGCACAATAATACAATTCTGAGCATAATATTACCCTTTCTATATACTCGGTGACGGATATACTCGGTGACGGATATATAAGGCAGCTCTGTGCGTCCAACTATTCAATACGCTTCTGAACTATATCGTATAAAGACCTACCCAGGTAGACTTTAGCGAATAGTTCAAGAGTGATTTTTAACTTATATTGTTTTTTTTTTTCGTCGTTTTAATTTTTCGTCATCAATGTTCGCGTGCACGTTCGTCGGTTGCACTAAAGTGTTTAACGTGAAACATAATATGATTCGCCACGCCAAAACATACGAGGATGTTAAATTTCAATGTGCGTTGTGCCCGAAAGTGTTTACTTATAAAGGAAACATGATGCAACACATAAAAATTGTGCATCACGAAGACAGAGTCGTCCTACCGACTATTGCCCCGCAAGCCGGACGAATTATAAAAAATTCCTTTCTTTCATCAAACCAGCATTAATCGATCTTCTCAAGTCATTATCAGAAAACAATCCGATTAAATTAAATTTGAAGCTGGAAGCTACCTATTATAAACCGCATGTTGAAAATTCCACCGAGAATAGAGCGTNCTATACCCATACGTACCTATACCTATACATATATACATACACACCCGTCGCCGCGAAATATTAGTATACCGATAAATAATAATTCTGTATACAGAATTATTATTTATAAGAATACCTATATGTATAGTTGATACAGTCGGCGAAAGAATATTATTATTATTTTTATTTTTCGTCATCACTATAGGTACATA